TGGATAAAACTATTTTTACTCATTTAAATCACGCGAAATTTTTTTCAGTTGTTGTTGTTCTGCTATATTTTTGATTTGGTCTCTATTTGTCATATTGGATTATAAGGGCTAGAAGAATGTTTTCAATATAGGTCGATGTCTCGGAGTAATGCCCATATAAAAGTACCTCCTGATTTTACCATATTTCAAAGGATTTGGCTAAAAATGTGTATTTGGGGGTGAAAATCTTACACAAAAATTTGAACATATCTACAAATTTTAGAATTTTTTCCCTATAATAGTACCCCCTCAAGTCCACTTTTTGGCGGACAAACAGACCGACAAGGTTAGAGGGACTTATAAGAACTCTAATGGACAATCTGAGGTGTTAATGGCTTTAAAAAAGTAATTTACTTTGGCTATTCTTAATTCATTCAACCCTCAATTAAGAGGTGTACAAAATACAGTAAATTCCAAATTACTGCTCATTTGAATGGAAAATTATGCTACGATTTTTACCATACTAAAAATTAATTTGATCCCTTACATGGGGATAAGATTGATATATACATTTTAATAGATTTGTATAGCACATCCACACCTTTGAAGTCCACGGTTTAAATATTGAAGCCCACGGCTTAAATATGGGTACAGGTATTTAAAAAGCCTTTTAATCGACCAGTACGCGAACACTTATATCATTCATATCTTTGAATAATTATGCTTTGACAAATATGCATAATAGACAAAAAGTACGGGCCGGCAACGCGGACCGGGCCAGCTAGTATTAACATAAAACAAGATTGTACAAAAAAAAACACATACACAAGTAATAAAACTTATGGGCTAAAAATTGTATTGTATAACTTATTATTTAAAACTTAAAACCTACAAAAAATAAAAATGTATTGAATTAAAATATAGAATAAATTATTATAATCTTTAACCTAGTTATCCTAAGATCTAAATTGCACTACCCCCATAAAAACTAATAAAAAACCAGGGAACCCTGTTGTAATTAGTGTCAAAAAATTGTGGTGCTCCGTGCTTTTGAAAAAAATTATTGGTTATATGTTTTATTAAATTAATTAATCCGGTAAAAAAGTGTATTAAAGTGTTCAATAGTGATTTTGTAACTCAAAGTGATAATTGGTGTAGTGTTTTAAAATCTTGTTTTGTCTTTTAAAGTAATATCAATTTTCAAATTGTGTAGTTGTACATTCTCTTTTTATCCTCTTTCTTTTGTTACATTAGCTAATTAGTTGTTGTAACATATCGTCTTGTTTTGTTTTGTCATCTCATAAGAGTTGCCAACATTTAAAAAAGAATTTTAAAAAGAATAAAATAAATAAAAAAATCCAGCTACAGATCTAATCTTGAAAAATATAGTTGTAACTTGTGTATTAAAAAAGAAATAATTATAATTAAAATAAATAATAATTAAAATAAAAAATGTCGTGCCCTTTTGAATTGTGTAATATTGTTGCAGAGGATGAATTGTGTGTTAACTTTGGTTTTGTCTTAATCAATGGCATGCAAAATGTGCTAGGATTAATGCAAAAGTTGTAGACGCAATTAGAAATAATGTTGGTGTTCGTTGGTGTTGTGTGCAATGTAGGAAACTCTCTGCAGACTTTTATAATTTTGTAAAGAACTTGCAGTCGGAATTGACATCGATGAAAAAAAGATTTTTCCTCACTATACCAAGAACTAGATGAGTTTGTGTCGTCACCGTCAGTTTCTGGCCAGAAACGCAAAAGGGCTGCGAAAAAGGCATCAACTAAGGGAATGCCAAGTCGCAAAGCAATAGTTTCTGTGGAGAACACTGTTCCACAACCGGTTTCAGTTAATATCACTGAAACTACTGAGACTGGACGTGAACAGTAGTATGCCAGTGTTGTTACACACCCAGTTCCGGTAGAAAAGTAAATAATCTATTATATAAAATCAAAAATTGAAGGAGATTACTTTTTGAGATGTTATAAGCTCCGATCTGCATTTTCTGAAAGTAGATCTTCTTTCAAAATCGTTGTGCCTGAAAATATTTTCGTACAGTTGATTTTAAAAGAATTTTGGCCTGCTAGGGCATTTATTAAAGAATTTGTGGAGAGATCCGATAATTTAGCTCATTTGCCTCTTAGACCAGATTCGGTGCCAAAAAATTAAATGACTCATTTTCTATTTGCTATCAGAATGTAAGGGGGCTTAATACAAAATTAACTAGTTTATATACTGATAGCATTGGTTTCAACTATAATGTATTGGTTTTCTCCGAAACTTGGTTAAAAACATCTATATTAAATAGTGAAATTTTATGTTCAAAATATCAAAAATTTAGAAAAGATCGTGTTTGTAAAAAAGGTGGTGGTGTCCTTATTGCAGTTGATACCACATATATCACAAATTTAATTGATCTAAATGATTTTCTTGATATAGAATTTGTTGGTGTTTCCATTGAACTGGGCATATCTAAATTGTTTGTAACTTGCTCTTACATTCCCCCTTCATCTTCACTTGACATTTATAATCAGCATTTATCAGCAATAAATTTAATCACTGAAAAAATGAAAGATTCCGATCGCATTCTGATCCTTGGTGATTTTAATATGCCCTCCATTAGGTGGCTTCCAATGCCAGATTCTGAAGCTTTGATTCCTTTGCATGTGTTCCAACCACTAGAGTTAAAAATTCAAATAAATATCCATGGATAACCTCTGAGTTATCAAGTTTAAACAACTCTAAAAATAAGATTTTTCGTAAATATAAAAAATCAGGCTTGACAATAGACTACACTAATTACTCGGTTGCTAGATCTAAATATACTTTAGAGTCTCGTAGATTGTATAATCTTTACCTAGACAAGATTAAAAATAATTTTAAATCCAATCCTAAATCTTTTTATGATTTTGTTAATCTAAAACGAAAAGTTTCCTCAAAGCCCTTAGTATTGAAATATAACAATAAAGAATTTGTCACAGGCACAGATATTGCTGAATGTTTCGCAGATTTTTTTGCCACAACCTATTCCAGTACATCTTGCCAACTTAAAGATTCGTATCCTTATAAGTTATCACAGGCTGATCAAATTTTTATGCCTTTTCTACAACGTCAGGATGTGTCCAATAGTCTGCGTAGTTTAAAATCGATTAAACGTCCAGGACCGGATGGCATACCTAATATAATTCTTAAATATTGTTCAGAAACATTAGCACTCCCGTTAACTATATTGTTTAATTATTCACTTAAATTTGGTCACTTTCCTACTTTCCGACTGGAAAAAATCTTATATTATACCTTTACATAATTCTGGTAGTCTTACTAACGTGTCAAATTATAGAGGTATTGCAAAATTAAGTGCCATACCAAAATTGTTTGAAAAATTAATTATTGCAGTAATTTCACGGAAAATTCAATCTATATTGAGTCCATATCAGCATGGTTTTCGTAGTGGTCTTTCAACTACAACAAATCTTATAGAATTTACGTCAACAGTAATAAAAGGATTTGTTCAGCGTAAACAAACTGATACAATTTATACTGATTTTAGTAAAGCTTTTGATAGGGTTAACCATGAACTCCTAATATATAAATTAAATTATATGGGTTTCAACACAAACTTAGTCGAATGGATATCATCTTACTTAAAAGATAGATCGCAACTAGTTTTGTTTGAAGGGTATCTATCCAAAACGATTAACGTTCCATCGGGTGTTCCGCAAGGAAGTCACCTTGGACCGGTCCTCTTTCTTTTATTTATCAACGATTTACCTAATTCCATAAATTACTCGAAATTGTTAATGTACGCAGATGATGTTAAATTATTCATTTCCCATAATTGTGATAAACGAGCTAGTTTACTTCAAAACGATTTAGATAGCCTTTTTAAATGGTGCAGGTTAAATTGTATGGAGTTAAATTTAAGTAAATGTAAGCATATGTGCTTCTCTAGATCTTCTCTGATATTACAATATAATATTGACGGTCATTCTTTATCAACTGTAGATTCATTTGTCGATCTAGGCCTCTTGATGGATCCAAAATTAAATTTTAATAGCCATGTAATAACAATGGTAAATAAAGCAAATGGTGTTTTAGGTTAAGTTAAACGGTGGACCAAAGAATTTTCTGATCCATATATAACAAAACAGTTATTTACGTCTCTTGTTAGACCTATATTGGAATATGGTTCTATTGTATGGGATCCTCAATATGCAATATACTCAGATAAAATAGAATCCGTGCAAAAACAATTTCTGCTATTTGCCTTACGAGGTTTACATTGGAATAGTGATTTTGTTTTGCCTTCTTATGCTAGCAGGCTAAAATTAATTAGATTGCCTACACTTAAAAGCAGACGTATTATGTTGAACTCCATGTTAGTACTAAAAATATTAAATGGTAATATACCTTCAGATTTCCTAATCTCATCTATTAGAATTAATGTTCCGTTTAGATCTAGTAGATACTACCAATTATTATATACTGATTTTCACCGTACGAATTATTCAATGGCGAACCTCTTAGTAAAATATGTGTTGACTTTAATTCTGTGTATTGTAATGTAGATTTTTGTATGAGTTTAGAAGTTATTAAATCTAGAATAATTTTATTTTTAAACAATTAACATACATGTTTTATTATTTGACAAACTAGCTGATGAATTAGATTCTGTAGCTGGTTTTAAATTTCCTACTGAATTCCCATTATGATGCGGATCATGATGTGTACGCGATCCCTCCGTAAAGGGAGGTCGCCCCCTCGGTCGGCAGGGGTGGGAATGTGAGGCGTGGGAACGTTCGAAAAAAAAAAAAAAAAAAAAAAAAATAAAAATCATTTATATTTGTTAATCATTTAGAAAGGCTCAAAAAAGGTAAGCCTAAAAACAGTAAGCAAATCCATAGTTTAACAAAACAAACCTTCTTATTACATATTTATTGCAGAACTGGCTAAAGTAGAGCCATTTCGGGTCGTAAAAATAACAGGAAACATACATATTATATTAAACTCTGATATTTACATACCTCAATATATGCTGGTTTGTAAACTCTTCCCTCAAAGATGTCTGCATTTTCATCAATCCATTTAATAGCTTCATAAACATCAGGAAACTTGCTCCTTAAAAACTGAAAATAATTAAAAAGGCAATGTCGTAATTTTACGTTTTTTTACAATCTTATAAAAACTTACCCTCATTTTCTGCTCATTTATGTTCTCCAAAGACCCACGACGCGAATTCAAAGACTGTGTCTCTGATATATTTTCATCTAGCTTATTTTGTATATTGCTGCGATCTTGCTCCAATCGTTTCATCGTTTGTTTTATTTGTTCCATTTTATAATCACATTCCCTGATTAGCTTTTCTCCATTAGCTTCTGACATTTCATCGTTGTTAAGAATTTGCAAATCTTGGGCGTAAGCTTGCAACATCTTTATCTCGTGTTTAAGTTCTTTTTGGCGTTCGTTTGAATCTCGTTTTCGCTTCTTTAATTTGCATAAATATAAATATTAATAGAAAATTATACCTTTTTTAATATCAGTTCATTCGAGTTAATACGAGAATCTAATAATGTTTCAACAAAAATGATATATTAACCACCGCAAAAACTTGAAACAAACAAAAAGTAACATAAAATTGATATATTTTCATTTGTCCATTAGCCAGTTTGTTTCATGTTCTTGGGACATGTCCTGTGACAAATTTCCTCAATACTTACCTCAAATTTAGATTTTTCTTCGTTTATTTTGTTTTTCAGCATTTCAATCTTTATAATTATTTGAGATTTTCTACCTTCTGCTATCTTCAAATTTCGTTCCTAAAATCATAAAAAAAATTTAAAAATTTAATAAAAAATTTTATAACATCTTGACAGATGCCAAAGGATTTAAATTGTTAACTTATATTGAATCATACTTATTTGTAAAATTATGTACATTTTCCTTAAATGATTATATCTATGTATAAAAATGTTGTAAAAATGTAAATCAACTCATCAATTGAGAACGGCCGGGCCTATTTGACTTATATTTTCTTTCGGTTGTTTGTAATTGCAGTGAGAAGGAAAACACGCGAAATTAGAAAAATCTAAAGTTATTTTTTTAATATGGAATTGTTCCAAAATAGCTCTTCGAATAGAAAATTCTAAGTGGAAAACCCAATAAAAACGCAAAAAATGTGCATGTTATCGCAAGATCATAACAAGTTACTACGCGGACTATACTTATTATAACAGTTCATCCCGAAGTGGTCTGTTGGTAGGACAGGGTAAAATTGAAAAAAACAGCATTAAGAGTACGCCATAAAAATGTCAACAAATTTGTTACAATTTGTCATATATATTTTTATTTTTTTATATATCCTACACCACACTGTAATCAGGGGTTCTATGTATTTGTGCATTTGTTTTTAATATGGATATGGAAGCGAGGTAGACAAATGTTATCAAGATCGGTTCTGGTTTTGATGTTGCTTCCATATATGTCTTTATCCGATTTCATGTTTATTGTGCACCAAATGGTTAATATCAGACCAAATGGAGTGGATTGTGACACATACGACCGAATTCACCCTAGAAGCAAGTACTTCAAATTCGGTGAAAATCGGTTAACGTATGTTTCATCAGATTTGGAGTTCAAGTCCCTCATATTTGTAATATGAACTCTACACCAATGATATTCGGTATTATATACCAGCTCAGAAATTTTATCGCGATCGGTTAAGATTTGGATATAACATCCATCCGATATCTTCATTTCATATCGAATGGTTAATATCAGAAATGGTTAATATCAGTCCAAATGGAGTGGATGTTGGCACATAGGACATAGGATTTTAGTTTGTGGTGTTATTGACCTTTATATTCGCAATATGAACTCTACAAAAATCATATTTGGTACCAGATAACAGTTCAGAAGTTTTATAGAGATCAGTTTAGATTTGGATACAGCTTCTATCCGATATTTTCATCCGATTTCAGGTTTTTGTGAAGAAATTGTTAATATCAGCCTAAATGGAGTGGATTTTGGCAAATACGACCCATATGTAATGATATTTGATACAAGATACCAGCTCAGAAATTTTGTCTAGATTGGTTCTGATTTGGATATAACTTTCCTCCGATATCCTCATGCGATTTCATGGTTATTGTTCACCACATTGTTTCATGGTTATTGTACACCACATATGCATTGTCAGCCTAAATTAGATGGATTCGGATTGCTTTAGATTTGTCTGCGTGTATATGGGGATTTGTTACGTTAAATCAAATGCTCTTATTGTTGTTGCTTTTGTAGCAGTAGAACATATGGATGTTTGTTAAATCAAATGCTCTTATTGTTGTTGTAGCAGTGGTACATATGGATGTTTGTATTCTGCTAAGCTGGTTCAAGCTTCAGGTTTCGGCTACTTTAACGGGCTGTAGCCAGAGATCTTCTGGAGTACGTTGGGTAGGTTTGGCAGTGCAAATAAAGAGGTGAAGCGTATTGTGCGAGCCTGTATCGTCACGCACATCTTTGTCAATTCGTGCTCAATACGAACTAGACGGCAACCCTGTTGTGATTAGTGTCAAAAAATTGTGGTGCTCCGTGTTTTTGAAAAAAATATTAATTATATATTTTATTAAATTAATTAATTTGATAAAAAGTGTCTAAAAGTGTTGACTATTGACTTTGCAAATCATAGTGATAATTGGTGTAGTGTTTTAAAGCTTGTTTCGTTTTTAAACTAATATCAGATGTATACCCTCAGCCCTATTCACCCTCTATGGATTGAGTTTTGAAAGAATCGTTCAATATTGTCCATTCCGTATCCCACCTAAATAAATATGATATAAATATTATTATATATAAAACTAATTATATATAAAAAAATAAATTATAGTAGATGGATATAGCAATTGTAAAGAATCGCTGAGTTACTTCGCAATTTATGATTGATGAAAATATTGTAAATTGTGTCCCTTTGTGGGTGAGGTGCCAGAAGGTGTTCGATGATATATAGCACCTTCACAACAGATCTGGTGTTAGCAAAAATTATTGTATGTGTGAAATTTGAAGAGAGTTGGATCCTTATTTCGCTTTCTTTGAGTGTTATGTTTTTCAAAATTAGATTATTGCTTCCCCTTCTGTGCAGAAAATATATATTTTTAAAATTTCGACCATTTGTAGGGGAGGTACCAGAAGAAGTGGACCGATATACTCCATCTTAACACCAGACCTTGACTAATAACATGATTGGGATGGGTGAAATTTGAAGACAATCGAACTCTTAAATCACATTTTATGAGAGTTGTAATTATTCAAAATTCTGAACATTTGTGGGGGAGGTACTTTAATGAGTGAACCGATATTGTCCATTTTCGGACCAGACCTAGCACTGATGCAAATATTAGGATATGCAAACTTGGACCAAAATCGGATCATCGTTTCTCTTTCTGTTCAAAAAATATATGATTTGCAAATTTCGACCTTTTGTGGGGAGGTACCAGAAGGAGTGGACCGATATTGCTCATCTTAACACCAGACCTTGGGTTAATATAAATATTGGGATGTGTAAAATTTGAAGACAATCGGACTCTTAAATCACATTTTATGAGAGTTGTAATTATTCAAAATTTTGACAATTTTTGGGGGAGGTACTTGATGGAGTGGACCGATAATGTCAATTTTTACACCTGACCTAGCACTGATGCAAATATTAGGATTTGCAAAATTTGGAGCAAAATCGGATTTTCCATTCTCTTACTGTGCAAAGAATAATTTTTTTGCAAATTTCGACCTTTTGTGGGGAAGGTACCAGAAGGAGTGGACCGATATTGCCCATCTTCGAACTCGATCTAAGTTTGACAAAAATATTACGATGTACCAAGTTTGGACCAAATCGGATACTCCCTTCGAGAGTTATCGTGCGCACCAGCCAGACAGACAGACGGACGGACATCGCTAGATCGACTCCAAATGATCTGAAACGGAGCGACTAGGCACGTTTTGACCGTATCAAATGATATATACCCTCTGTAGCCATATGGCTGAGGGTATAAAAATATAGTTGTAACTTGTATAATTAAAAAAGTAATAATAATAATAATTAAAATAAATAAAATTTCGTCCCCTTTTGAATTGTGTAATATTGTTGCAGAGGATGAATTGTAAGTTACCTGTTGGGTTTGTCTTAATCAATGGCATGCTAAATGTGCTAGGATTAATGCAAGAGTCGTAGACACAATAAGAAATAATGTTGGTGTTCTTTGGTGTTGTGTGCAATGTAGGAAACTCTCTGCAGATTTTTACAATTTTGAAAAGGATTTGCAGACTCTACATTGTTTGAGAAATACCAAGAATTAGATGAGTTTGTGTCGTCACCGTCAGTTTCTGGTCAGAAACGCAAAAGGGCTGCGAAAAAGGCTCCAACTAAGGGAATGCCTAGTCGCAAAGCCATAGTTTCTGTGGAGAACACTGTTCCACAACCGGTTCCAGTTAATTCAACTGAAACTGGGCGTGTACAGTCATATGCCAGCGTTGTTACACGCCCAGTTCCGGCAATTAACAGCGATATAAATAAAGGTGTAAATAATCCTGAGTTTATGAGTATTGATAGTGAGGTTTCTAAAAGATCATGATCTATGGGTCCAGCAATGAAAATGATATTTGCGACAAGGTTTGCACCAGAAACAAAGGTCGATGATATACGCTTTTATATAAAATCAAAATTGAGAGATTACTTTTTGAGATGTTATAAGGTCCGATCTGCATTTTTTGAAAATAGATCTTCTTTCAAAATCGTAGTGCCTGAAAATATTTTTGTACTGTTGATTTTAAAAGAATTTTGGCCTTGAGATTGAATTTCTAAGGAGATATGATAATTTAGCTCATTTGCCTCTAAGACCAGATTCCGTTCCAAAAAACTAAATGACTTATTTTCTATTTGCTATCAGAATGTAAGGGGCTTAATACAAAATTAACCAGTTTATATACTGATAACATTGGTTTCTATTATAATGTATTGGTTTTCTCCGAAAATTGGTTAAAAACATCTATATTAAATAGTGAAATTTTATGTTCAAAATATCAAATATTCAGAAAAGATTGTGTTTGTAAAACAGGTGGTGGCGTCCTTATGCAGTTGATACCAAATATACCACAAATTTAATTGATCTAAATGATCTTCTTGATATAGAATTGGTGTTGGTGTTTCCATTGAATTGGGCAAATCTAAATTGTTTGTAACTTACTCTTATATTCCACTTTCATCTTCACTTAACTGCATTTATCAGCAATAAATTTAATCAGCATTTATCAGCAATAAATTTAATCACTAAAAAATTAAAGATTTCGATTGCATCCTGATTCTTGGTGATTTTAATATGCCTTCCATTAGGTGGCTTCTAATGCCAGATTCTGAAGCTTTGATTCCTTTCTCATCCGAAATGAACAGTACCCAGTATACATTTGATGTTATAAATAGTTTTTGTGACTTAAATCTTTATCAAGTAAACAGTGTGAAAAATTCTCACGGCGAAATTCTTGATTTGGCGTTTGAAAATATAACACAGCATTTTGATATATTCAGAATTTCTCCAATATGCATTCCTTTATATATCTCCATGACTCACAGTTATGTAATTGAAGAAAGTCAGTCCGACTCATTTAAAACTGTCCTTAATTACAAAAAAAACTAATTTTCGAAAACTTAATACCCTCATTTTCTCCGTAAATTGGGCCTCTGTGGCCCTGTGTAACAGCCATAAAGATCTGGAATATGTAATTGATCACTTTTATGATATTCTAAATAGATTTAAATTGGAATGTGTTCCAACTA